TATTATCTCCTGTCAAGTCCCGTAAAGTGGCGAACTAGGGGATGAATCCGGGTTTGCGCACTTTCCGGTAACCAATTTCAATAAAACTTGGTAATTATATGTAATTCCACGTACTTTTGCGGTCGGTTTTTTAGTACTCTGCACTGAGTTTATTATTGTTACATAATATATAGTGTTAAAGTTCAACCATGCGTGCACCAAGCGATGCACTTTGTAGTTCTACAAATATTCGCTAGATGGTATTGATCACTTTTGCTAATTTCAGAATCAGTTAAGATTTTCCTTCGTTATTATTCAGACCGAATTTTGTGTCATACTATCTATAGGTTTACTAGGATTTGGGTCCTTGTGAAATGGCTACCGGGACCAATCTGATAGCTGGTTTAATAGTTTTTGTATTTTTTTGTTATAATTCAAATAAGCACAAAAGAAACTTAATTACATTCAAAGTCACTAAACTGCTGTGCAATTTGTTGGCGACATGTGCCCTCTTAATTATAACTATTATTATATATAAGTAGCAGTAGAGCTCCTTGTGTAAGAGTTTGTCCAGGGAAGCACTGCAAACTTTACCTATTTCTGCCGCCAAGCAGTGATGTCAGCATTACTGTATTCCGGTTTTGAAGGGTAAGTAAGGGTGCTGGTGAAATTACAGGCACATTAGACTTGTCAACTTATCTATATCTCTGGGTGACGGGCACAGTGTGAGTGTCCTTCAAATCTTTGCGATTTTTTTTTGAAATAACATGTACTTGGTGTACTTTAATTGGCTAAATAAAGATTAACTTTGTGAGGCACTCTTTTAACTTACGTTTTAATGAACGTTTAGATAACTGTGTATTGGGAACAAAATATCGTGTACATCTTTTTCAATAATAGTTATTTGCTTTTACTTGCACTAGTTTTTTTTACGAGGGGGATATCTTTATTATATACCCCTGTCGGAGAGGGCCACATCCGTCTTCGGCACGGCGACCTCGAGCACCAGCAGTTGTATTCGGCGAACCACCAGGTCCGCCGCTACTGAGGCTCTTCGGGCCGCCTCTTGAAGGTGGTTCCCCGGACGTGTACCTGGGGATCTCATGGCACCTCAGCGCCTCTCTGATTACGGCGAAGGGGAGAGTGCCGAAGGCATTGGCTATGTCGAAGGACACAGCCGTCATGCCCTCCAGCTCGCCGCTAACCTCCTCCACGGTGTGTCGCAGCGACTCCATGGCGTTCAGGGTGGAGAGTCCCGCTCCGAACCCGTACTATTGCTGCGACACATCGGGGCCAGTCCCCCTGTGTGGAGGCGATAATTCGCTCCAGGATCTTCGACACCTCGTCTAGTAGGACGAGCGACCTGAATCCCGAGGGGGAGTCCGCAGTTCGGCGCGGCTTGGGTATCACTCCATCCAGTATCGGGGAAAAGGCCCTTTCCCACCCGGTTGAGGAGATCCAGCTCCAGTGACTCCATGGGGGATGCGCCGTACATTTTGTTGCGGACAAGTTTGTACACTTCACCCATGGGTCTGCGTCCAGAGTGGCCAAGAACTCCTATTTAGCAGAGTCCTCGGGCCGCCCTATCGCGACCTTCAGGACCTGCCGCGCATCTTGAAGGGCGCAGTGGAGTCTTCTCTCCTCACTCCGGGTGTGACGCCTACGGCGGCATCGGCCGCAGGCCCGCCGGCACGAGTTTACCCTGGCTTACTCTTTTTGTCATATATCCCTGAACCTCTCTGTTCCTACACCTAACTTTATAATTATCGCTACTAAAATAAATCGTTGTAGTGTCCTTACATTTTTTTTTCACTTTTTTGCATACTAGATGTTTTATTATCCTAAATTCTAACTTTATACTCGTATAAGTAGCAAAGGTCTGACCATATTTAATCCTTAGCTGATTATCGATTCTGAAGTGCCATAGTATACTATATATATATTTTCCTTATCTAATATACTGTATCTTAAATGAACAAATCTACTTAAGGCGAGGTATTTCAATGCGAGCCTAGATTTTAGGAAGTGAGGTGTGGGGAAGCCGCCAATCGCGTCCCGCAGTCACAAAAAATTAGTATGAATAAAATAAGAAAAAGCGTTGAAAATTTGACGCAGATCCGATGTCGACAAGCGCCGAAAGCGAATGATGGGCGGGTGGCGCGGCGCACTATGGGGAGATTAAGTCATTTTCATGTCATAAATGTATAACTTCCAAGTTTTGAAAGATAATTATGTGGTTTTTTTTGGATATTCTTGAATATATGAACTTTTAATTAATACACATTTTGTAGGTATTAACATATTTTTAATAACTTAACTTTTTAAACCTTTTTTAAACTTAATATTTTTAATAACTTAATAAAAAAGAAAGTAAAAGCAATTCAAAGGTCATATTACAAAATTGAAGACAATGTGTTAGATGAAGATGTGTGGAAAGACGATATGGGTCTAGATTCTGCACAAATTTGATTCAAAGTGTATTCAGTAGCATATAAGTTTATTTGAAAAGAGCAATCGCTAGAGTTCTTTCTTCTCAGGAAAGGCAGCATAGTGAACGAGCTGTTACTTATAAAATGACATTTTCAAGTGTAATTTATTTTACCTATGGTATAAATGATTCTTTGACTTTGAGTAGCTATAAAAAATATATGAACAAAAAAATGTATATAAACTAACATCAACCTTTAAAGAAAATAAACTATGTTTACTTACAAATAATAAAATTAAACATCTTTGTATTAATAATTATAACAAACTAGTGGAGTAATTTCACAAAAAATAATTGAATGTCAATTCAATAAAAATTTAAAAATTAAACATCTTAAAGTAATTGTAATTAAACAATTTAATGAAATGAAAAGCTTAAAGTATTTTCAAATTCACCTAGGAGCTCCAAAGCTTCATCTAGAAGCTCTATAGATTTCTTATTATAAGGTTTTCTAAGACTAGTTATGTAAGGATCCGAGGTGTACAAAAGTGTATGTAAGATGTCTTCATTAGTGGCTATTATAGCTCTATAATCTTCATCATGCTAGAAATGCTCATTTTCTAGCATGATGAAGTCTGAAACGTTTATAATCTTTGTTCCTTGACTCTTGAGCACCTTCCGAGAGTTGTCCAATCGGTAACACAGAATAATGCCGAATTACACTTTCTCCATGAATTAAGACTTTATGCACAGAGGATGGCATATAATACCACTTATATTTGTTAATATATAGTTGCGCTGTCTCGAGTGAATATTGTCCAAATTTCGTGGCTTCAATAACTTTTCCGCTTGATATAACTTGAAGTATAA